ACACTTGATATGGAGTCTTTTCTTTTTTAGCCATTCTCCTATGTGTATAATGGGATCTCACGGTGTTTTATTTGCATTTCCCCAATAAATAATGATTTTGAGCATCTTTTTATGTTCTTTCCACATATCTTCTTTGGTATGTGTTGAATTCTTTTGCTCAGTTTTTACTGGGTTGCTTATCTTATTGACCTGAGAGTTTTTAAATATATTTGCATACACGTCCTTTTGTCATCATATATTTTGTAAATATTTTCTCCCAGTTTATAGCTTGCCTTTTTATTCATTTAAAAGTGCCTCTGAAGATCAGAAATAGTGAAGAAATACTTGATTAGATATCTAAGAAAGTGTCTGAGAAATTATCTATTGAAATACCTAAAAAAAAAAAAAAGATTTTTCTCCTGTGTTTTTTTTCTAGAAACCTTATAGTTTCAGGTTTTACATATAGTGCTAAAATTTGACTCTATTGTATATAACAAAAATACAATCAGTACTCAAATACTGTACAATCATATGTAACATGTTAATATAGCAGAGTGGATAAGAATTCACAATCTAGAGACAGACAAACCTTCTCATCTCAGTTCCAACATTTATTAGCTATGTAATCTTGGTCAAAATATTTAACTGGTCTGACCTTGTTTTCTCATCCAAAACATTAGGGTAAGAATAATTCCCACCATATACAGTTGCTCTGAGGATTAAGTGAGATAAATAATGGGAAGCACTGTGAAACAGATAGAGCTAATAATCACCAATATAAAAAAATGAAGTTGATGAGGAAAGTGTCCAAGGCATAGAAAACAGATAAGATGGTGCCTCATAGTTGAGTATACCAATCATATCTGAATACATTTGCCTTGGACTAGGACAGGGGTTAAATTGAAGAGTGATGACACAACAAGGCAAGTATCTTAGTACAGTGTTTGGTTTTCTGAATACAGCAGTAAAGGAAGGGTGGTCAAATTCTGCAGAAATGTAGAAGCAATGTTTTGGATCAGCTGGAAAGGAGTGGTAATGTAAGCTAAACATATGCCCAAATGAAGTAACAGTAGATGGCTGTTGATGACTGATGCCCAAGTAAGCTAAGGTGATGAGAAGTAGGGTGAAAAGTTACACAGACCTATGGAACAACCTTCTCAAATCAGCTTCAACGAGCTTCTTAGTGCCTACAAAATACAGTGATTGGACCACAGACTCTCTAAGGCTTGTACAGCTCCAGTAGCCTGGGAATTTTCTCTCTATACCATGAAATTGGGAGTGGGGAAAAGGGTGAGCTCTTCCAGGGGGTGGAAATAAACAAGAAATCTGAACATGAAATTTATCTGGCTGGAATCAGAGCATAGTTCATTCCTTAGAGAACAACTTCTGGCTGATGAGAAAGAAGGTGGGTAGTGAGAGAGAGCCTCTGCTCTCTGAGCATATCACATGAAGCACTGACCTTCAGAAAATGAGATCACCATGGAAGCGAGAGAGGGAAAACACACAGAAAAAAAAAAACCAAGATGAATGATGGATAAGGAGTGTCCAAAGTCCAGAGTTTTAACCATTGGATTTAATTTCTCTGAAGATATTTGTGAAACTAGTATTCATTTTTTGCATTTCTTTTTAAGTCTTGAGCCAGTCTATTATTTCCACTAAATATATTTCAAGACTTTGACCTCCCACTTGATGTTCTTTCATAAGAAAAAATTAAACATTTTCCCAGGCAGAAAAAAAAACCCTGAACTAGTCAAATAATTTTTTAAAATCCTTCCAAAGAGAAGAATATATTAATCCAGAGTTTCTAGAACTAAATTGGCTTCCCACTTCTTTACATGTGGATAACTGAAAGTCCACTCTACATAGTTCAGTAATGCAATCCCCACTGAATGTTTTGTTTTATCTTAGTTAATGTTTGGGGGGAGAAGCCCTTAGTTTCATGCACTCATTCACTGCTTTAATAGACACCTACCATGCCGAGCACTGCAGTAGGTGCTGCTATCTATTTTTATTTGTACATTTTCTTACTCAGTCTTCCCAACAGCTATGTATTTTTGGCAACAGAAACTGTTTTAAAAGGTGTAATCTTGTCAAATTCTCACTGTTAGTACAAGGTAGGGTCCTCTCAGAATCTGTAATCTAGTTGAGTAGGAACTACCTCAAAAATGATACCCTAGGGTAAGTGCTATTAATCCAGTGTGGCTGCCACAGGGCTCTGGGAAAGACTTTAAGGAGTGAATAGAACTTTGATAGGTAAATTTTGGGCTGTAAAAGACTGAGGGGAACTGCTCAAGTGGTAGAGTGATTGCCTAACAAGCTTGAGTCTGAGCCCTAAGAACCACAGGGGGAAGAATATTGGGTTGTGAGAAGGGGAGGTGTGGAAGAGAAATTCAAAGTGTTGGGGGAAAATTTCATAGATGCACATGATCAGAGAATGCCTGGTGGGTACATGGAATAGCAAATTGTTCTTATTTTAATGGAGGAATGTCAGTGTGTGACAGGTTTAGAAGCAAAATGAGATCCAACTGTAAGCAGGCAACAGAAGACCAGCAAAGAATTTCGCCCAGAAGAAAGGCTTGGTTAGAATGTGCTTTAAGAAATACTTTCTGGATGGGTGCCAGTAGCTTTCCTGTAATCCAAGCTACTTGGGAGGGTGAGATTAGGAGGATTGTGATTTGAGGCTAGCCCAGGCAAAAAAATTCTTGAGACCCCCATCTCAATGGGAAAATCTGGGCATGGTGGCACACGACTGTTTGGAAAACATTAAATAGGAGGATCGTGGTTCTCTTGTACTTTCGAAAAGTGAAACCCTATCTCCAGAACAACCAGAGGAAAAAAGAGATGGAAGTGTGGTTCAAGCAGTAGAGTCCTGCTTCATAAGTGCAAACCCCTAAGTTCAAACTCCGATATCACAACAAACAAACAAACAAACAAAAAACTCCAGAGCCACCAAACTAATTCAAACTGGTCTCTCAAGAGCTCCATTTGTACTAACTGCTTGGGAAATAAGATAGAATTCCCTGCTTGATTTGAAAAGGTTGATTGGTTGTTGGCTTCTTTTATTTCTGGCAACTAAAAAGCTTTTCGTACAGAGAAAGATTTAACCAAAGTGATGCTCCAAGAAATGCAATGGAGTGATGATGTACAGAATGGATTTGAAGAAAGCCAATTACTTTTTATTTTGGTACTGGATAAGAAATAATGAAAGTGGAACACTAGTGGTCAGTAGATCTTGAAAGGATGAAATCAGTGGTGCTCAGCTGAACAAGAAGACTTAATGATAACTCCCAAATTGAAATCCCAAGTGGCTAGGAAAATGGTGATCTTCCTGCAGGAAATTGGACAATGATTTGGAAAGAAAGCAATACATATATTTTAAATAGGTTGAATTATAAGTAGCAATAGGACTTTCATGAAGGAATATCCAGAAGCAGTTCAAAGGCCAGAGCTGGTGTTCATAAAAGAAGCCGCAAATAATACAGTCAGAAGTTGTCTGCAAGGTGATAAAGCCATATGTGATGGGTGTCTGTGGTCAAGGATAACATGGTGGCAAATGAAAAAGAAGACCTTTGAGGGAACAGAGCAGGAGCAGGGAAACCGTTCATGGAGACAGAAAGAACAGGAACTGGGAGGAGAACATGTAGAGTTGCAGAGGTAAAGAGGGAATGAGTGCAGATCTGTTGAGAAGGATGAGGACACGGACACAGGGGTTGTGCTTGGTGATAAAGGACCAATCAATTCCTCTGAGAGGCTTGTCACCCTCCCTCACTCTCTTCTTCCCCACTGCAGGCCATCCTGGACTTTCTCTTTTGCTGCCTGGCCTTGATGCCTGGCTTTGCTGCCTGGCACAAATGGCCTTGATGATAGGTTACACACCAGTGTTTACTTAAGTTTTCCATTTATATCAAATGCTCTCTAAAAGCAAGGACTGTGGGGCTGTCACCTTGTTCCCAGAGTTTTAGGACAAAAGCCCCATCCCAGGAGCCTCAACAGACTAGGCTCAGCCACCCGTTCAATACATCAGTTAAGGAAACCAGTAGTGGTGAAGGGCAGAGAAAGGAGATTTAGTCACATGTGGCCATGTTAGGAAGAACAAAGGGATTCAGTGACCCCCCCAAGCTCATCTTTGGAGTACTGACATGAAATTATATATGGAAGGGGCAAGAAGCATGCATAGCTAATAGTTTTGGTCAAACCTTGGTCTCGGTGATCATTATCTTAGGATTGGTCAGGGTGTACTTTGTCAAGACAGAAAAAGTCTTTGCTCTCTGGGGAGTAGATTCAACTCCTGTCACAAGATGTTTATCCATCAGTTCTGTGGTTCCAGGAATCCAAGGTGAATGAAGGAGGAAAAGACTCCCAAGGAAAAAGTGGAAAGGGCAAAAATGGAGTCAGAGAGGGCCAAAACGGAGTTAATTAGACCAAGAGATCATGAGAGAGCACTGGAAGCCACATTGGAAGGTGTTGTGGAACACAAGAGGAAGAGAATGGTAAAGAATGAAAGAAGTGCCTGATGACGGGAGATGGTGGGGAGTTTTGAAAGAATTACAGAAGCAGAAAGAATAAAATGTTTAATTCCAGGGTAAGGGGTTTGAATATGTTCTTCAACTGTGGTCAAAGTAGAAAGGAGATAATGAAGATGGGAGACGGGGCAATGTGACAACCGCTAGAGTGAGTTCCAGAAAGGACTGGTGATCACGTGGGGAGGTTAACCCCTGGCTGAGGACAGGGGAGGAGAGGCCAGAAATGTGGAGAAATGCAGAGGGGAGAGGTGAATGCAGTGACTGGACTATGAGGAAGGAAACCGTGCCCTAATGAGAAAAAAAAAAAAATGCTGACCTTTAAGTTCAATTACTGCCATTTATCAGCTGTGTGACCTGTGGTAAATGACAACATTTTTGAAGCCTCAACTTCCCTTTCCGTAAAATGGGGGGCACAAACTTCCAACTCCAGTAATTGGGTGTTCTGGTCTCACTGTGTGCACGTGCCTTCTTGGCTGTTTCTTTGTTTTAGGCGTGTTTACTTGATAGAACAGAAGTGGCTGGAAGGCAGTCCTGATCTTCAGCAGTAACATGGGTGTGTCATTTGAGTATGAGAAGGTGATGCTACAGTCTTAAGAGATCAGGAAAAGCTTTAGGATGGGAAGATTCCCAAGCATCAGCGAGGACTCAGGGCATACTTGAGCTCAAGGAAGGAGTCTTGGAGGAATGGAGCACCTTTTTGTAAAGATGTGACCATAACTTCTTTTTGAACGTCTGTTAGGTGACGATTGTAAGAGAGGCCCCCACCAATTCCATCCAGCGGATCCACTCACTCCTGGAGGCTCTGGGATGGGCTGAATTCCTAAACTGGAGAGATCGCCCAGGTGTATAGGTAATATTTCCGCGAGAGATCCCAACTGGGTCTCAGCCCAAAGATCAGGAGCCTGTAAGTGGAGTTAGATAACCGTCGGAATGCAAAGATGCACACGTGCCTGGTCCCGGCTGATGGCTGGCCCACACGTGCGCACCTTTCCTGCCCTGGCCAGCTATTCCTAGTGCAGCGCTGCAAGCAAGAACTTCACTCTCTTGCCCATCGCACGACCTCAGGCTGGTTCTTCCCCCCTACCCCCATCCTTGTAAATTGCTGAGTGTGGGAGGCCCCGCCCTTCTGCGTCCGGCCTCTGGGCCGCGCCTCCCCCCTCCAGCCCCGCGGGTGCGGCTTCCCGGACTGCGCTGGAGGTCCTGGTGGAGAGGCCCATGGGGCCCTTGGCGCTGCCCGCCTGGCTGCAGCCCAGGTAGGGCGCTCGGCCCCCGCCCGGGCCGCGGGGGAGGGGCGGGAGAGAGGCCGCAGAGGCGGGGATCCCCTTGCAGTTGGTGCCACCCGCCCGTGTGGCGCCTCCCAACCCTGCGCCCCGCGCTCCGGGGGCTCCTAACAGGTATCCGCTAGTTTAATTTTCTCGACAATCCTAGGAAGAAGGCTCTGTTACTTTCCTCACTTTGGAGCTAAGGAAATGGGAAGGACAGGCTGAGTGGCCACCTCTTCCCTTTGTGTGTCTGCCAGTCCTTCTTCCCTTCCTACTTGCCCAGAACCCTGCCCTGGACTTGGTCAGACGCAGGGTTGCGGGGTGATGGTTTGATCTTGCTGCTGCGGAAGCACCTATCACACTCGCGATTCCAGGGAAAGCGTTGCAGTTGTACAGGCGATTCTCCTGGAGGATGAAGGAGGATTTCCTCGTCCTAAGCCCTTCAGCAGTTTAAGGTATCTGCTGAGCGGCCATGTAAAATCATCCACCAACACCGGGTCTGCCTCGCAGCTAACGTGCTTTGTTTCTCAGAGGTTTCACGTCTTCAACTAGGAGAAAATCTTGTTCACCCTCCATCCTTCGGAACCCCTAGGGAGCACTTCAACCAATGCTTTTTCCTCTCCCCCGAACTCTGTATCTGTCAGACTTCTTTTAATCATCTCCCCAGCAACCCACATTTTCAAACCTAGCTTGACTTCTCTTTTTTGGCTTGAGCAACTAAACTGCTTTCTGCGTGTGTTTAATGAAGGAAACTATCTTCCTTGCAAATATAATAGATGGCAGTGGCAAGCTACTAAAACCCTAGTCACATGAAGCACTCAAAAGTCAGGTGTGTCCAGTTACGGAATTATGCACTGTTTGGCAATGTGGCCATTACTCCTGCCTCTCATAACTATAAACCATTTTTCTCTCAAGGCCTGCACTTAGCCGACTGAGCTACTGACACACACACTGACCACATCAACCCCTCTGCACCCATGTTTTTCTCCCTCAAATATCCAAAGCTATCTTTGCAGTAATGTCCAAAGTTAGAACAGCACAATTAACCTTTCTTTCAAAGATGAAAGTGTATTTTTAAAAAAGAACTGTATTTGAGTTTAAGAAAATTAAGTATATTCACATTAGCAGATAGTGTGTATTTTGAGTCTCTTCAAAATCCGATGTGTTTTGGGGGACAACCAAATAAGCGACTCTGATATATGAACCATTTTCTTTTGCTTGCTCAGTTTGGTACATTAAAAGACATGTGCACAAGGATGAAGGGATAATTATAAAAAAGTGTTTAATAACATTTTCCTGTATTTATAGATATAGGAAGAATGCCTATCTTTTCATCTATTACTTAATCCAGTTCTGTGGCCACTCATGGATATTTACAAATATGACAGTCAGATTCTTTTCATTTGGAAAAGGTAAAACTCCAAAACTGTGTTTGATTTTTAACTTTGAATGCTTGTTTTCATCTAGTTTTGCTTATAGTAATTTTGAACTTCTGTGAAGCTCACCTAACATTCTCCATGTTGATGTTTTTCAATAACCATACTTCTTGTTTATTGCAAAAACCTTAACCTTTTTGGAGCAGGGAGAAGTTGGGATAAGGGAAAGGATTTGTTTCCTCTGAGTAGGCTGTTTGCTCTGAAAACACAGACATGACTTTGGGGTGGTAACATTTCACTGTTCCTTTTTGGTTCTGCACCAAACCCTAGTAAATTTGGTGCACTCTAAGGATATCTGTAAATTCCAGTGTTACATTTTGTGCAGAGAAATTAGGAATTAATCAGATTCTTCCAGGATTTTTTACTCCTTAGGTTTAGGGTAACTGGAGACTACTAGTAAGTGAATGACAAACTTTTCACTCCCCAGGACTCCATTTGATCCCTTAAGGAGTAATGTGTACATGACACACTTTGGAGATGACTAATCACCTACATGGAGTTGGCACTGATGGCTTAAGTCATACACTTCTTCCAATTTCCTAAAAAGTAAAACTGCTGTTTTAAAATATGCAGTTCAGTTTTGTTTTTTTTTTTTAAAAATGAATCACTAGATGACTGTCAAAACAACATTCTCTTCATGTTCTATCCCCGCATGAGTAAGTGTCATCACAATTTACAACTGTTAGATGACTCGACAATTTGAGCAACTGCTGGGTTCGCTAAAAACAAACACGTAGAATAAATCTGGAAAAAAGCTGTGCTTTGCTCATCAGTTCAGACTTCTGTATCACAAGGAAAGCAGCTTTGGAGGTACCATAAACTATTTTATGTTGCTTTTTCTTACAGAAAAAAATCTACAAATAAATTTCTGCCTTTGTTAATAACCTTGAGGATACAACCCAGTCCTTGAATTTCAACTATAAACATTGAGGATTTTCAAGTAGAAGGAAAGAGAGGCAATGGGAAACATTCTTTTCAATTTTAGATCAGAAAGCGCTCACTTGTGGGCCTTGGACGTTGGCTCAGGCTGTGGGGTGTATTAAATCGTTCACAACATGCATCCCAAGCCAAGAGCGCTCTGATTCCACCTCACCTTTCCAGTGGGAAAACGTCGCTTTAGTCAGCAGCATATTTATTTCTTAACTGTTTTCCTGCTATTGTAATTATGGAAGCTACGTATTATCAAAAAAACACAACCGATTCATATAGAAGGCTGAGAACATCTAAGAGGGAGTTCAGTACAATTCCTGAGACAATATATGACTTAGTAAGTAGCTCAGCGACAATCTAAAACCCTGACCTTGTGACACCTGCTTTCCATCAAGGTTGTGTAATTGACAAGCTCTGCTGTAGCCGGTGCAGGCATTGGATAAGAGTGTGGACTGTCTGAGCATCGGGGATCATCTCTGAGGTGGGGATGAGAGTAATAGTGTCTACCTCATGTTGGTGCTTAATCAGTTATTATCATCTGAATGATAGGAAGGCCAGTAAAGACAGCAAAATCTCTGCACCGCCCCCCAGAAGTTTCTAAACATGGTGGAATTTGATTTTAACACTTAAAGGGACAGACATCCACCATAGATAGACATTTGTTTCTCTTCCATTTCAGCTTCTCCTAAGGGCAAGATTTCCGTTGGGCCCTCTACAATGAAAACTCTGAAAGTCCTGACCAAAGGCCCAAGTTCAGTGTTTAACACAAATCTAAAAAGTACTAGCTAAGTACGTACTTGAACCAGTGCTGTATACACTTGGTGTCTGATATCATGCTACCATTAATGTGATTTCCATAAAACCGAAGTCATATTTTTTTTCTCAACTTTGTAATTTTCTTGTCAGTGAAAAGGCTGAGCACAGAGGAGACTCTTTAGTAAGCTCACCTCCAGCCTACTTACACTTCAGGTGATTTAGATTCTGGCTAGTATTTTATGTGGAAATTGCCTTATAATCTCATACACTGGGAATAATACTGCAGTTTTGACTGTGAAGCCTTTTAAGTTTTTACTTATTTTTGGAAAAGGATCAATTAAGGTGAATACAACATACTTTCTTGGGTTGTGTTGCATTCTTAATAATTAGTACCCTATTTAGATTATTTTTCACATGTACAATAAAGAGGTAGAAAATAATCTCAGTTTTGTTTTATTTCAAAGTGCTGCATAGATGTGTTGTGGTCTAGTTTTTACTTACTATCTCTGTATTTGTAATCCGCTGAACGCAGATTCAATGGTTGACACTTTTTATGCTATCGGACTTGTCATGAGATTCTGCCAATCTATTTCTGTCTTGGAGCTGTTGCACATATATATCGGCATCGAGTCAAACCATCTTTTCCCGAGGTTTCTGCAGGTAGGTTTAACCAATCACATTATTAGTTTTGCTATTATTATTATTATTTGTTGAATCTGTTTAATTTTTAACTTTGTTCTACTTACAGCCTCTCTTGGTTTTATGTCAGTAGAATTCATTCCATGGACGGATTGCCTAGTCTACAACACTGCAGTTAGAATAGCCAGCTGGAAACATTTAAGTTAGCAGTGCTTGTTGATCCTATCATGGGAGGAGAGTTCATGGCCACTTTTTACCCTCACTATGTCACCAGGTAGTATAAAACAATGGAAAGACATAGGATTGAAGGCATTCAGACTTGAGTTTGGTGTGTGGCTCTTCTACTGACCACTGTGGGATTATACCACCCATAACCATTGGGCTGTTTGCTGAAAAAGGACACAACACACAATACCTGGAAAAGAACAGATAATTAAAAAAACAAAACTCTCAAAATTCCTGTCATCTCTAGCCAGAGACTAGAATATTTCCAAGGTGTTTCTTCATTCAACTACTTTCACTGAAGAAAAATGGGAAGAAGAGATCATTTATGTTTGTCTAGTATCAGCATCTAAGTATAGACTTGGGGTCACATAGACCAGGATTCAAATTTCAGTTTGACCTATAGTGGTTGTGGGGACTTAAACAAGGTATTTTAACATTCTGAAACTCATTTTCTAATGTGACATGAAAACAACATGGATCTTATGGAGTAACTGAGAACATGGGTGGAGTGAGTTCTTGGCACTCAGTTAATACTTTGTAGCCACTGTTGTTATTTTGGCTATTATTTGTCCCTTCTACCATGCCTCCAGCCCTTGAAGGCAGGCTGAAAGAAGATTGGAAATTTACTTGTAGAGACTCAGCATAGAAAAATCATTGCTGGATTAAAGCAACAAGAATTTTAAAATGGTATTTTCTATGAGAAAGAAGGAAAAGGATTAGGGGGCTTCATGAGCAAATGTTGAAAACATTAGGAGATTCTCTACATGAGAATAATTTTAAGTATTCCCCAAATAAATTTGAAGAATAAAAGACTAAATTTGACAAATTTACATTGTAAAAATTATTAAAATCTCAGTCTTCTTGTATTGCCAGCACCTAGCTGAGTGTTTAGAATGTAAACATATATCTTAAATTTTGGTTGAATTAAGGAATAGCATAGATTACTGTATTAAAGTTTGCTTAAATATCATGAAAGCTTAAAGATGTAAATAGCAGTATAATCCTAAGGAACCTAGTAAGAACTCAGAATTATAAGCATCAAAAATGTTTAGAGGATATTTTTAATTTTACTTATCAAATAAAATACAGAAGTAGTATCCATTAGGATAATGACATTTTAAGTGTTGAAATATCAAGTGTAAAATAAAAATGAGGGCAGTAGTGTATAAAATAGTACTACTGTAGTAGTTTCCTAGCTAAGACCTAGAATTCCTTTAATCATATTTCTTTACAGAATAAAAAGGGATACAGATCTGACCCAAGCAGCATATAATTTGAGAACAAGATTTATTTGCATTTATGACTTATTTAACAGGTCTGCTTTACTTTGAAAAACCCAAAATGCACATGGGACTAGAATCCCATGATACTAATCTTAGAGAACAGAATTAACAGCTCAGATTAAATGAAATGTTGTGTTTTATCATATGAGATTATTCAGCTCAAATCTTAAGTCATGTTTTCTTTCAGTATACTTTTAAGGACTTCTTACTTTTTTAGGCTAAATTGGTTAGTACTAGTTTCATTGTAAAAATGGCATTTTTAATATTAAAAATACTGTTAGTTTAGTTATTGTTAGTGCACCCACTGAAAACAGATTACTGTGTAAGAAAGAAAACTAAATGAGTACTCAGACTATCCCTAGAAAATATACACATTTTATGATTTACAAAATTATATAGCTTATTTAATAATAGAAATTGTTGTATAACTTAGACATCTGATTTCATGGAGGTCAAGAAATTCAAGAATATTTAAGTGTGCTTTTAATATTGATAATTAAATCTCTAATGGCTCATTGCAATATCACTTAAATCAAAGACCAAAATCCTAATTTGGTGATTTAAAAATAATTGCAAATCTACATTTACACTTTTTATTCAAAGGTGAGTTTGCAAAGACTACTGTTAATGGAGCACAAATGATTTTTAAGTCTTTAGTCCTTAGGATGGATAACAAGTCAGAGATCATGACATAAGGAAAGAATATTACTATTTTCATCCAGGACTGATTATTATTAGTTTTTGTTGTGGTTGTTTTTCTTCCTCTTTTAACTTCCTATATGAGATTTTATGTTCCCTCTATTTTTTTATTCACTTAATCCTTTCCATGGTTCTCAGAATTGAAATGGTGTTGTAAAAACTTTTAAAAATCATCATAGTACCTAAAGTTTCATTTTCTGACCCCTTCCTTTATTGGAGTTTTATAGACAATTAAAATTCCCTCATTATGAGATGAGTCTGAGGCCTCTGCTTTAAAATTATGAAACAAACTCTCATATTGTGTAATCACTCTTGGTTTTCCTATTTCCCCATTTTTAAATGAAGAAACAGTAGTTAGGGCAGTTGAGTTATTTACACCGTACTCACAGCTGACTGTGTGCAGTATCTTAAAAATGGATAGTGTCCAGCTGCTTTCAAGGAGGCCAAACACTATGCTTGCACAATTGTTCTGTTACTTTGTTATTATCCTTCAAGAGATGGCTAAGCCACATTTTTGGAGCTTGTCCTCCAAAATATCGAGATAAATTATTCCATCTAGCAGTAGGATTGGATGAGCTAGTTGAACAATTAACATCACATATAGTAAGTACTGGTATGAACAGGAGGTAGGTTTTTGTGGCTGTTCTATGCATTATTAAGTGCTTTACACTCATATCTCTGACATTAAGCAAAAGGATATGAATTTTTAAAATTACATGAAATTGCTAAAACAAAAAGAAAAAACTGACTGTAAGACGATAATCATTTAACAGATATATATTTTATTTTATACACTTAGGGGAATAAGACAAAACCATAATATAAATAGCTGTTTATAAATTTCCATCTTTGGGAATAATTACATGCCAATTAAGTTATGTAAAGAAGTACTGCAAATGTTAGATATTTTTAACTTAAGTGGGAAAGCAAAAAAATTTTTTAAAGGCATATAAAAATGATGATATAAATGAAAACTCAACATCTCTCCTCTCCAACCCTTTCCTCCCAAATGAGTGTGCATAAAATGCTCATGGGGAGCATTTTAAAAATTGCTAAATGGGGAGACTAGTTGATTTCAATAGATTTAATTTTTTAAAAACCTGACTTGTAGGGAAGAGGAATACTACCAACCCTGACATTGATTTTGAAGGGCTTTGTTCAGACTTCATTTGTGCAGAAGCCTGAGAAAGAGAGCTTTATTGATATGGCTTTAAAATAGTTCAACTCAAGAAGGGAAAATAGCCAAACTAACATTTGTTTCATAACGTTAGACTGATACACCTTGAAGGAAACCCCCAGGGTCCTGTGGTTCACTTCATCTTTTGAGAAAAGTTTTAAATGCAAAGATCTCATTTATAACTGAATTAAAATGGTTCAATCCCACATCCTCCCTTCTGATAGAGGACAAGCAGAGATCTGCCTGCCAAAAATCACTCCAAAAATTTCACAGTCACAGACTCTTAAGAGAAGAAATATGAAGGTATTCCCAAAGGAAAATGCCTCGTACCTGTTTAAGAACACACTTAGGCTTCACTCTTAACTGTTCCTTCCTTCTTCCCGCCCTTCCTCCCTCCCTTCCTCCTTCCTTCCTCCCTCCCTTCCTCCTTCCTTCCTCCCTCCCTTCCTTCCTCTTTTTTCTTTCTGTCTTTCTTTCTTTCATTCTTTTTCTCTTTATTTTTTTAGTTTTGGTTGTATTTGGGATTGAACTCAGGGCCTTGTACTGTGAAACAGGTGCTTATTTTCATTTCTAGGTTAAATAATCTTTTGACTTTCCATAAAGTCACATTGATTTTTCTCTCAGATTTTGAGTTGAGAATAGGCTTATATGAATAATAATATTATTATCAATAATAGTAGTAATAATAATAGTGCTGATAATAGTGTTGAGTGGTAAGTCTTCAAATTCTGAAACTTCTTGGGAATGAATTACAGATACAATTCACTCTATAAGTAAGATTTTATATATTTTTCTTCTGGTTTTTGCACTTGACCCATGGAGTGCTTTAGTGTGATAAGTACAAAACTATATTCCTTGATTCATTGTATAATTTAACAAATGCTGGAATTGATAGCATAATTTACAAATGGTGAAATTTACTTTTTTTGTCTTTTTTTTAAGCAACAATGGAGTTTGAACTCAGGGCTCTGTGCTTGCAAGGCTGGGGTACTATCATTTGAGCCACACCTCTAGCCTGACTTTTTAAATCTTTATGCAGAAAAATGTCCTATAGTTATACTAATCACTACATTAAATTAAATTATATTTATATATTTTCTTAATATTATCTTATATTTATTTAAAGCTTTCTATGTGCCAAACACTTTTCTAAGTTCTTTATATATATTAACTTATTTACTCTTCAGAACAACCTTATTTTATTTATAACTATTAGGTAATAATAGATGCTAAATATTATATCTGGTATAACTATTTAATGCAAAAATTAATTACTGGAGGTCATATAGGATGTGATTTATAGTAAAAATTTAGGCTGTTTTGCTATACCTGCTTACTGCCTATTTCACTAAGTAGAATGTAAATGCCAGGAGGGCACGAACTTGGTCTTGTTCACAGTTATGTTCTCTGGGACCCAGAACAGTATACTCTGTAGGTATCTACTGAATGATTAATAAAAAAAATATAGAATTATTTAAATGCTTTTGTCTTATAAAGATGGTTTTCCATATATAGAGATATGTTTCTGATGTACTTAAAATGTTGATATGACTGAAATAGTTTGGTTATCATTTTAGTAAAACAGTAGTCTTTGAGACTGAAACTAATTTTTAAGATTCTAGAAATTCTCCCTTCAGTTAAGGTGTCATTTTACCCCCTCAGAGCTTATAAAGTGCTGCCTGCCATTTAGAAAGTAACAACTTAGTTTCAGTCATTGTTTAACCTGGAGTTTAGGATGCCTAGATCAAACATAAAAATGCAAATTATTCTTATATGATAGTGGCTGTACTTTCAAGTGGACCATATTACCACCATGCTTAATTTGGCCTAAGTTACAGGATTTTAAATATACCTTTTATTCTACCTGTTTGTGTTATACTAAACATTACAGAACCATTCATTAGTAATAGTCATATTTTCACATGATTTGTTAAAAAGAACAAAGTGCTTAGTTTTCCCAAGTGTAAAGCTCTAAATAACTGATTGAAATATATCAAAATTTATAAATTTAGAAAGTCTTTTCATCAAAATTATTTTTGTGTTGATTTAGAATACCAAGAAACCACTTGCTTTCAGGTCTTAATTTTTAACAAAATGTTTTTCTAAAGAATAGACAGTCACCGATGTATTAGTTCTGGAGTAGCCCGGGAAGTAACAAAAATGAAAAAGTCTTAGCACTTCAGAACAAAGGATTGTCTAAATTTTGATTCCATACCTGTAGGCAAGTCACTTTCACTTAGTAAAATGCATCCCTTTTGTTAAAGGCAGTTAAATAGAATAGCACCTTCTTCTTACTTCATTACAGAGATGAAGCAAGATGGTGCATGTTTGGAAACTGGCAGACAGTAATGAATAAATATTGACTTTTACCAATTTAAGAATATCCCCACCTAAATTCTCTCATTGTATTGCCATTGGATGGCCAAGTTAGATGTAAATAACCCTCAGATAATTAACTAATTAGGTTAATTATGGATTCACATGCATATTTGTGTGCTGTAGTTTCATGTTTTGGGGCATGGCAACTGCTGATTTCTGTGCAATTGAAATTCTGCTTCTGTCACCAATGTGCCACAGACCCTCAAATAATGATTTTCAATAGAGTGAATTTCATCATGCAGTTCCAGTCTCTTTTAGGAGATTTTGCCCTCTCCTCACCATTTGAAGGAGCCTGACATTATGGATAGAAAGCTTATAAATCTGGACACCAGAAGACTTAGAATACATTTAATTTCTCGTCTCCCAGTAGTTTGGCCATGTCACTCAAATAAGCTGATTCCTAAATTCCTTATTTGTAAAAGAGTAGAGTTGGGCTAGTATTATCTGGAGGGGTACAGGTCATTGTTCTATGTATGCATTCATGTGTGTGTATCTCCTGAGATTTTTAGCAAAAACAAGATTTTCCTAATTATGAGGAATTAACTAGATACAAAATTAGATAGTGCCTAAGTATTTGCTATTTAAGCCTTGTATTGAAAGGCTGCCAGGTTTCATAAAAGCAAGGTCAGATTATTCAGTAATTATAATTGCAATTTAGTAGTATTTGTTAATATAATTGAATTACATAAGGACATCAGGGCATTATATTTAAAAGGAAGACTGATGGAAGAAAAATAGCTATGTAGATAGCTTCCATAGATTGCCTAAGATTTGCACTATGCCTTAATTCCCCTTAGCCATGCAAGGGCCCTCTTGACTCACCTCTGTAGTCATAAACATGCTGATAGAGCTTATACATGTGGATTTCTGATCATGTGGCCACTGTTGGCAAATCTTGGATTTTTCTACACTAACAGTCTATGATTCTGTCTTATATTATCTCAGTATTTTGTCCTTAATCAGCTTTTTAAAATAAAGACGCTACTGAAAACTATAGAGCAATCCTTGATATTTTTCTTTACCACTAGTATGCTCCTAAAAATCTCAAATATATTTTGACCACCGGAAATTAAAAGTCCTATTAAACACACAAGAAGTAGAATGTGTAGGATGTATTAATGTAAGAAGGCACTTTAGGTGGGGAAAAAGGATTGTATTTTATTGATACTAGTAACTGGAGCTAAGCCAAAAGTGTGTGAATTCTCAATGATTTGTAAATGCTTACTGACTTAGGATATATATTATATATTCCAAGAATGTGTTAAATTCTTTTCATTTTCCACTAGCTTATAGGGGTTAGGATTATATTACTCCCTTACCAAAAGAAAAAAAAAGGCTACAATGGCTTCTCTATTGGATGAAATTGAAATTTCCTGGGCTGTCATTCAAAATCCTTCATAATCCAGCCGCAAAGTCATTTTCAATTTCATCTCCTGGTCTTCCCTTCCTTGCACTCAGCCTCTTCTTATTCCTCCGTAATGAACCCTGCATTTTCACACCTTGCATTTTCAGGATCGCTCCAGCACCTTTGCTCAGACTGTTCCCTTTGCCAAGGATGCCCTTTCTCTTGTCCAGTCTACTTGACAGACTCCCATTCATTTTTCAAGATCAAACTGAAATGTTGCCTGTCTTCATAAACCTCTCTGCATTCTTTCCTCAGGCAGCAAGTATTTCTTCCCTTCCCTGTGTTCCCACTCTTAGCACATACTGTGCTATAGTCATTGCTCCACATTTACCCACTACTGCTTCCCTGTCTTAAACAACAGCCATGTTTTTATTATAGCATCTAATGCATAGTGAGCACTCAAATAAAAGTTCACCAGAATGAATAGAAATGAATGCATGTGGCAAGAAGAAAGGAAATATTCTGATTTAGATAAAAATAGGTTATCTTTTCATTTGTTATATGTAATTTGGAAAGTACAGGAAAACAAAAAGCAGGAAATTAAATTTACCCATAATCCAACTTCCTGAGAGATAGTAATTGTTAATAATATTTAGTATACAGATTACCAGCTAAAGCATAGTTTAAAAGAAGCTCTGGGTTTTTTTAAATTAGAAAAATACCTACATGGCTTAACAGCTGATCTTAATTCTTGACTTTGCTGTTTGTTTGTTAGCTCACAGAGAGAATAATCATCCTTTTTGTGGTGATCACCAGTCAAGAGGAAGTCCAAGAGAAATATGTGGTGTGTGTTTTATTCATCTTTTGGAATCTATTGGATATGGTTAGGTAAGAAGGCAAAATAATCTTTTTAAACAAGGCCAAATTGCTTTCTACAGTGAAATCAGTAATAGATGCCTATATTTGGTTATTCTGAATTAGACTGAAAAACATAACCTCTTTTCAAATTATTTTATCTTGATATGGAAATGTATTTTTAGTGCTTCCCATAATAGGCATATCAAAGATAATGAAAACTTACCATGGTATTACGAGAGCAAATCAGTGCATTCAGGTTTCCAGCACAAGGCTTGGCATAAGACCAACTTGGAATAAACCTTACAGCTGTTTGCTAATGAAAGGCATTCCTTGCAATTTCTCTAGCACACATTATTTTAATAAGCAGAGCAGGACTTTTATTGTATCATTTTTGGAATTTACAAAGTTGGTTTCTATGAATCCAAAAATATTTTAAACATAGGCCCTCATGTCTGAGGAAAAGAATGCACTTCCACATGCATTTTTGTTTATGATTCCAGTGGGTTCAAATGACTAACCTAAGTCCTTTTATGGAACCCAAGGGAACTCTTGCTTTAGATAGCCTTAAGTTTTCTTCTAATTCCAAAACTTTGAAATAAAATGTTCCTAGCATTCTTGCTACCAGCGAGAATATGACAGTCCTTTTTTGCTCAGTGAGCCTCATAGCTTATTTTGTGGAGGTATCCTACTGCTACTTGAGCTTTCATCAATGAGCACTGTCTACCCTACTTGAAAAATCTGGATATGAATAGGTCACAAAAAAACTATTTTTTTTAAAGCTGAGAGTATGTAGTAAATTCTATACTTACTATATTATCAGTAACTTGGCTGGGTTAAAATATGTCTAAATAATAGGTTGAATCCTAGAGAGAATTACAATGAAATATTTTGTTGACTCAAAATGACTATAATTCTTTATCTTTGTAACTTAGTAAGCTATTTCTCATTTTTAAAATACTTCTATAGACTAACAGCAAACTTCCTGGACTTTTGTAGCTCATAACTTCCTATCACAAGTCACCAGATCCTTGTTGGGGGCCACAACTTTCCAATATATTTGAATGGGATCTGGCTCTTTTGGTATTGATTCAATCCCAGATAAGCTCAACAGAGAGCAAAATGACTTTTGCATTGAAAGTAGTAGCAAGATATCATGGGATTATTTTTGGATATAGAGTAAAAGACCTCAGGATGAAACCTACCTCCATTAATTATTTGGAAAATAATCTTGGGCATATCACAACCTTTTAAAGAATAACAGCTTTATTAAGATGTAATTGATGTCATAAAATTCACCTTTTTAAATATAAAATTTGTGGGTTTTAATATATTCAAAGAGATGTATAATCATTACCATTGTCTAAGACATTTTTATCACCTCCAAAAGAAACCCCATACCCATTAGCAGTCACATCCCATTCTCTCCTCTCCCCAATCCCTGGCAGCCATTCATATGTTGTCCCTATGGATTTGCCTATTTAAAAAATTACATATAAATAAATGAACTGGCTTCTTTCTACTATTTTTCAAGGTTTATGCAATGTTGTAATGTATACTAGTATAATCATAGCTTTTTGTGACTGAATGATAGTTTATTGTATTTACATAGCACTTTGTTTATTCATTCATCAGCTGATAGGTATGTGGGTTATTTCCACAGTTTGGCAATAAGGAATACTGCTATGAACATCCATGTACAAGCTTTTGAGTGTATATGTTTTCATTTCCCTTATACCTAACAGTGAAATTCTTGGGTCTCTGTTTTGAAATTATTTTACCTCTATAAAATGGGGGTGGAATCATCCTTTATTAATGTACCCTAGAATGATTTAAAAAAATAAGCAGAGAACTTCCTCAACCTACCAAAGGCATCTGTGAAAAATCCACAGCTAACATGATGGTGATGCGACTGACACTTGCTTCCTAAGATCAGGAACAAGAAAAGATGTCCACTCTTGCCATTTCTATTCAACATTGTACCGGAAGTTCAATATAAAGGCATCCAAATGAGGAAAAAAGAAGTTAAACTATCTCCTATTGGCAGACAATAGGCTCTTAGACTTGAAAAAACAAGGAATCCACAAGTTTAGCGAGGTTGTAGAATACAAGATCAATATAAAAATCAATTATATTTCTATACATTTCTAATGAACTATCCTAAAATAAAATTAAGAAAATAATTATATTTATAATAACATCAAAAAATAAAGAACGTGGGAATACATTTGACAAAAGATGGGCAGAACTTGCACAATGGAAATTATAAAACATTATTGGAAAAATAAAGATCTTAGTAAACAGAAAGACATCCTACATTGGCTAAAATATTGTTAAGATGGCAGTACTCCCAACTGATCTATAGATTCAGAGAAATCTCTATTGGAATCTTAGTTGGTTTGCTCGTATGGAAACTCAAGGAACTCAGAGTGGTCACAAACAATCTTGAAAAAGATGAACAGAGTTGGAAGACTCACACTTCCGAATTTCAACACTTCCTTCAAAGCAACAATAATCTTGAGTGTGGCACTTGCCATGTGGATCAATCATGGAATAGAATAGTCCAGAGATAAACTCACATTTTGAACAATTAACTTCTGACAAAGGTGGCAAAAGCATTCAAGAAGAAAAGAACATTCCTCTCAGCAAATGGTGCTACTAGATGCACACATGCAGAAGAATGAATTTGGGCCTTACCTCACAAAATATAAAACTCTTGGAAGAAAATATAGCGGAAAATATTTATGACTTTGCATTTGGCAATGTATTCTTTTATATGACACCTAAACCACTGGCAACAAAAGAAATAATAGATAAACTGTGCTTTATCCACAGTGTCTTTTAAACATATATAAGAAGATCTTTATCCACTCATCTTTTGTCTTTCTAATAAGGGGGGTAGGGAGATAGTGAGATACCATTTTTAACTTCAATTAGTAAAGATGAAAAAGTGTGATAACATGCTGTGTTAGTGATAGCTTGTGCCATTCCCTAAATATTCTATGCAGTAAATATCCACATAGATATGCATATGCAAAACATTTCTAAGAGGATACATAAGAAACTGGCACTGATATTGTCTCTGAGGAGTGGAGTTAGGGTCCTAGAATGAAGGAATGATTTACTTTTTCTCCATTTTTGTTTTCCAGACTTGGAGAGTTGCTTTGTTTTGTCATGTATTGTTTAAACCGAAAGTTCTCAAAGTCTGGTCTGGGGACTAGTGGCATAAGCCTCACCAGGAACTTGTTAGTAATACAGATTATCAGGCTCTACCTCAAGCCCATAAACTAGGAAATTGGGCTCTACCTCAGAAACTCTGGAGTTGGGATTCCCAGAGTTAAAGCAATTTGTGCTTTAACAAGCCATGTGGGTAATTCTGATGTATGGCCTAAGAACCACTGTCCTATTCAAATAAAAATATGTAGACAACATTGTCTACTATTTCACACTGGTAGGTTTAAAGCTACCTACTGTGCCTCAAACCAGTTCCTAAGGTCAGTTACTTCAACTGACCATATAATGTGACACAACCACAGCTATAGAGGGATGTCAACTAAGAGTTTAGAAGCCATATTATCATAAACTAATTTCCAAAACATTTACAAAGTAGATTTTAAAAAAATCCTAGGTGTTGCTGCATAAAATAGGCTTGGCTTCTTAATGGAAATGAAGTCACTAATCAAGGAAACTTGTAACTATAATTCCTTGGGAGGGGATAAGAGTTACGTTCTTGCCTTATTCAGCTGTATAATTATCTATGATCCAACCCATGAGATAACCCAAAGTGTCACACCCCCCAACACCATTTTTACCTCTTCCCTCACTTAAATTATAGGAACTAAAGCATGGAATTCTAGTTTTATTCCTGTATTTAATTATGCAGTATGGCACTTTCTTCATCTATATCCCAGACATCAGCAGCAAGTGTTTATGAACTTCTGTCTCCTTCCAGGTACACTTACAGCATGTTATCCGTCATAGGAACATCCTATGCTGTCTTGACATGGCTCAGTCAAACACTGTGGATGCCAATTTACCCTCTGTGTGTTCTTGCTGAAGGTAAGGAGAGTGATGCATCGAATTCCTGACTGACAATCTTTTGATGACGAAATTGCTACTTTTGGTAGTGTTTAGCTCACTCAGTGAATCTTTCTTGGCATATTTCCCTTGCTGCAAAGAAAGAAAGCATTAAAAGCAAAGTTGAAAAGAAGCAACTATGCACAATAGACAAAAAATTGGATGAAAAATGAGGACATTTGAGCCCAGGCCCTTAATGCCATTAACTTACCATATGAGTTTCGGTAACTCATTTATCCTCGCTTAGTCTGCTCACCAGAGAGGGATTTAACATGTAGGGACTTTACTTTTTTAATGCATAGAAATTTGGCTCTCTCTGGCTAAATTCTCCTTCCTACTTATCATCTCCTATGTATCTTATCCTTGCCAATGACTAATTAACTGTACTTTGAGATGAATCGTCTCTTTCAGAGGAAAGTTTTCCCCGACTTCTCAACTAATTTCCCTAATACAGCATCATGAATTACTCTTCAGTAGGGCCTATCTAATTTGTGACTAAAAATTAGATAGTCTTCAGTAGGGACTATCTAATTTGTATGATTCCTTGGTTAATGTCCATTTCCCTGACTAGACTGGAAACACCATGCGGGCTTGGGGGTATCCATCTGTTTCCTTCCTTTCCTTTCTGCACCAGCAGGCATGCTCAATGAATACAAGATGATCTATAGACCGCAATCTGCAGTAGGTAAAATACACAGCTTAAACATAAATTTAAAGCTTAAAATTAAATAATTAAAATCATTACTTATCTAAGAACTCAAGGATATTGGAGAATATATGCTTCCTTCTAGAGTGCATTTGGCAGACTGGAGGGAGTTCCGAAAGTCATGACTAAAGTTTTTGAAAACATAAGGCATAAAATAATCAAGAAAGCATATTAAGTCAAGTAAGAAAAAACATAAGGAAACAGATATAAAATAATAGTGGTGTTGCCAATAATAGTAAAAGATATAAAGACAAATATATAGAATAAAACCACATGTTTTCTACCTACTGATGACTAGAGAAATGGAGCTTAAGTTACAGTAAATCATATTAGACAGAATTTTAAAACTTGTTTTATTTTCAAGGAGAATTACTGAATTTTAGGGTATGCCCAGAAAATCAAGAGCATAATCTGAAAACCATAAAAAAACTAATTGTCCATCCTTTAAGAATGAAATCCCTCACTCATTGAAATATTTATTAAGTGCATTCCTTTGTCAAATCATATGGAAATACTATAGACAATATATAAAGATGTTGGCAAAGGGTACAAAGTTTAAATTAGGAGGAATACATTTTTGAGGTCTATCTCATAACTAGGTGAAAACAGTGAGGGGAGATAAAAGAGAATGATGGAGGAGGTAAATTCACTATGACATATTGTAAGAACTTACATGAATGTCAAAATGTACTCCCACTACAATAATATAATAATAAAAACAAAATTCAGCAAATCAAAAAAATGGATAAAGTCCAGTTAAATATTAAAAAAGAGTAAAAATGATCAATTAGAACATCTCAAAAAATAAATTTATGCTTTAAAATAGCCAAGAGAGTAAGTTTCAAATGATTCACTACAAAAAAAAAGTGAAGTAGTAGGTAAATTAATTAGTTTGGGTGATACTCCATTCTTTATTGCAGAACTTCTCAGAATGTCTACTGTGATAAACATGTATTGACTGTTTTCCAAATTTATTATTTTATCATTCCACATTGCATATATGTATTGTAACATCACATTGAACCCCACAAATGTATACACTATGATTTTCAACTAAAATTATATTAATAAAATAATAAATTTAAAAAATAGGTTTAAAAGCATCATATAAAGGAATAGATAAAAATATGAGCAATCCCTTCTTTATTTTTTTTGGGAGGAATGGTACTTGATTGTAAACTCAGGCCCACATGCTTGCTAGGCAGGCGCTCTACCACTTGAGCCACTCCACCAGCTAAGCAATCCCTTCTTAATAATAAGGGATGAATAAATACATAGGAAACATTTCCATTCTTGTCATCTCATAATTCTAAGCCTTTTTCTTTTTAGGAAAGTATGGTTTTGTATGGTTGCCATGCAACTCCTATTCTTTTGTTATATTTGTAAACTTATTCTTGTGATTACAAAGTACAGTATGTGCAGAAAAAATATCTAGCATATGTGACAAATTGCCAGTAATAATGAATTGTTTGGTGGAATGTAGGTGACTCTAATTTTATCTATAGATGTTTTGATCTATTCAAATGTTCCAGTGCATAAAAATATGCAGTTAAGAAAACCTACTTAACTTTTGATAATTCTAATTTTAATATTAAAAGTCAATAAATTATTTTTAGTAACTATAATTTCCCCACCTGACAATGTAAGACAATAGCAAAGTTCATATAAATAACCACATCAGCTATTTCAATGATAAAATGCTAGAATCTTAGGTACAGCCCTTATTAACAGCATGTTTGGTATCAATTGCAGATCTTGTACCAATAACCCAGCTCTGTCTGGCTTTAACAGCTGTGGCTCCTGACTTTTATTCAAGCTCTCTCTTTTAAAAACATTTTTATTTTTAAATAATTTCAGGCTCATAAGAAACTGTAAAAATAGTATATTATTCTTATGTACCATTCATCCAGCTTACTCTAATGATAGGATCTTATATAACCATAGTTAGTATATGATCACTTTATGAGTAAAATGTGATAAAAATCTACACATGGGCCAGGCATGGTGGCTCAAGCCTGTAATCCTAGTTATGCAGGAAGATCACAGTATGAAGCCACCCTAAGCAAAAGGTTTGTGAGAATCCCATGTCAATCAATGGCTGGGTACAGTGGCACACAGCTGTAAGCCCAAATAGAAGAATCACACTCCAGGCCAGCCAGAGCACACAGAGAGACCCTATCTTAAAAATAACCATTTTAAAAGGGTTTGTGGAGTGGCTCATGTGGTAGAGCTCCTGCCTAGCAACCACGAAGCCCCACTTCAACCCCTGGTATCTTCCCCTCTCCAAAAACTTGTGCATATGAGATACAGTTTTTTGGAACCTCCATCTCTTTCCATCTGACACCATCCTCTCTCCTCTGAATAATTTAGTCCAGTATTTCTCAGAATTTTTGTTAAGTACTTCTTGGGTTGGGGAGCAAGAATATTTTCCAAGACCAGTTATGTTAAGAAAATGTTGGGCAATATCCTTTCTTTATTGCAAAACTTCTCAGAATGTCTACTGTAATAAACATTTTTCACCATTTTCCAAATTTATTTGCTATCGCCCTTATTTGTGGTGAAGGGGGCAGAAGTATTTTGAGTTGTCATTTTTAGAAATATTGTAAACTCTGTCCATGTAAGCATGATGGAGTATACAATGGACAAACATTCAGCAAGTCCACTGCTGGAGCAGTCAAGTCAGTCATTCAGCAGATTTCTAGGTCAGACTGCATGCAGCTTTAGCTAGAGGAGTCAGCAATCACCAGAAAAGTGTCATTGCCAAATTCAAAATATCCTACACCAAGGACACATATGTGCACATCCCTGTGACAAGGTAAGGAGGGAACCCTTATGATGCTTGCTTTTTTTAAACAGCATTTGCCATCTATCAGTCGCTGCCTTATTTTGAATCATTCGGCACTTACTCTGCCAAGCTGCCCTTTGACTTATCCATCTATTTCCCATATGTGCTGAAGTTGTATCTCATGATGCTCTTCATAGGTAAGTGGCTGTTTTGTTTTTGCATTCATACCTTAGTAGACAAGTTGGTAAACATGGCAGAGACCAAAAGGAAGCCTAACACGATGAACTAGATTGTGTTACTAAAGCACCTGGAAGTTACAATGCTTTTTGCAGAGCATGGTGAAATAAACCATATTGCTGTTTCACTGTAAGAACAACAGCATTTTTCCTAGCAGAAAAGATAACTGTATTATGTGTGAAATGTTGAAAATTTGACCCTGGAGTTAGATGTCTACAAACAAAACCAAATGCCAAACTGAACAAGATTGGTTATCTCTGTGTTTTCCATTTATATTTAGTTTCCTGTTTGTTTGGCCTTACATACTAGCATTTCCTTGCAGGCAAGTGGGTGGAGGGGATAAAGACTCAAGAAAAATTTATGGGACAAAATTTACAGTTGGATGGGATTTTAAGATGCCTAAATTGAAGCACCAAGCACTCATCTGCTCCTTCACAAAAAACCCCAAAGCAACAGGTGTATTTTGAGGTGAATGAGCATGGGATTACCCCGAAAGTCAGCAGGAACTTTATAAGATTCAGAGACCTGGGACAATAGCATAGTGACAGAAACAAAATATCTGAGCACCTACTAACCTGGCTTCACAGTTGAGGGAAGAGGAGTCTTTCCCCAGAGAGTCCCAGCAAACTCTGTCTGTGTGGATACTGGCAGTCCTCACTACTAGAAAGTTTTATAGTACTCATAGGCTTGCAGCCTAACTAGATAATTAACCTGAAGTCTACACAGTTGCCTTGCTTTGGAAAAGGATCTCACATCATCTCTCAGCAATCCCTACCCCTAGGGTGCTACAGCCAGGAGCCATTTGAAAAATGACATATTATTTGAATTTGGATTGCTCCAGGGCTCAGAAGCCCCTGCATATTTCCATTTCTGGGACTTTAGAGACATTCAACTGCCATGGCTTAGCAGGTAGCTTCCTCACAAAACAAACTTTTTCCAGTATAATGATTTTGGAACAAATCCAATGGGGCTTGCTCTCTGAGACTATGGCATGGCCAGCTGCATGCAGATTCATGTGGGTGTCAGTACTGATAGCAATCACCTGTATGGTTTCCACCATTCCTCCTCACAGGGCTGGGTGTTGGTGCCTGTGACTAACATGGTGGTGGAAGAATTCGGTGATTCCACTGATGCCATGTTCATAGAGGTGTAAAGGGATAGCTTTGAGCAATCCTGGGTCTTCAGCTATCACCCTTGCCTCTGGGGAACATGGCCCAAGAAAGTCCAGAAAGAAACTTTGCTAGCTGCTATCCA